AAAAATACCGCTCCCCCTCAAATTCTGCCTGTGCTCCCAAACCACTCATCCAGGAGCCTTTCGGCAGCATCCCTCTCCTCGTAGCTGCTGCTCCTGACAGCCGGGGGCCAGGCGGCCCTTCTGGTGCTTAGAAATGGAAAAGTCTGAAATCCCCAAGAGCAGGAACACAGCGAGCACCGGCCAAGCCCTCGCAGCCTTGCCAGCCGGCTGACGGCGGCCAGGGGCACCGGCGCTGTCCCTGCCACGCCGGACGCACGCACCACGTGCTACGCACGAAGCTCCTTCGGTTTTGGAGAAGGCACCGGTGCGGTTACGGGTGACACTGGCACGGATATTAAACGTCATGAAGACACTGGACCAGCTGCAAGGGATGCAGCCAACCTCCACGTACCTCCGACGGCGGGATGGTCACCCCACCCCGGACCGCGGATCTGGCCAACATCTCGCTGCCTGGCTCGCTGCTTGCTTTAAAGCAACGTCAGTGCCAAATACAGGATGCTAATAATGCCTATTCCTATAGGCACTGAGCCACAGCTACAAATTCTTATGCTCGGAGGAGGTTTCCAGTAAAGCCATGAGGACGAATGACACATTTGAGCAATGTTTGCAGATCTGGCAGCATTTGGCTCATAGGCACGAAGTTTCCATGTACAACCATCATCAGGAAAAGCTGGCGGCATCATTTATAAACGATCTGAAGAAGTGCAAATTCACTATTTCACATGCAAAACACGGCAGTAAATGGGCATCACCAGCGAGCTCGTGCGAAACCCAAACCTCAAAGCGTTTGTTAAATCGCTGCTGAAAGCAGAAGACGGCTTCCCATCCAAAGGGCTTTAAGACTTCAGAGCCTCAACTTAAGATACGTTCAGATAAGAAAATTATTGCCAAGATCGAATCCTTGAGAACATAATTGCGGTGTAACTGCAAGGTAAATATACCTTACCAGGCTCCTGCCTAGGTCTGCCCGCATCACCCAGTTGGAGCCGACAGCGCCGGAGGAGAAGCCAGCGGTGGGTTCTGCACAGGTAACACCGTGCCTGGATCCACCTGCACGGCAGCCTGGCATCACCCGGGCAGCCGCTGCCAGCAGCTGTAAGAAGGGTTTATTCTGCTTATATTTTTATTGCAGCTGGGGTACAGCAGATGTTATTTCAAGGAGAGAGGTAATAAATACAGTTGCTTCTTGCATTACAGTTTGCCTGCGATTTTCTTTTAGCCATTTGAAGACACAAAGAAACTGTTTGGGAAATGCAAATATTCTTTGCCATTGCACGTGACAAGTCTTGATCCTACCACCAGAAGAGCTCTGGCCTTTTCTCTTGGATCAGGACCCGATCAACACCTCTTCTGCTCTCTTCCAACAGCAGCTGAAATAGCATTTGTCACCATGAATGAACAATTTTGCAATCAATTTTCGCAAGATTTTTGCTGAGGACGGCACGTTTTAGCCCTCCCAAAGTATGACTCCTCTCTAAAAAAAGCCACAGGATCCTGCATTTGGAGGCAGGCTCTGCTTTTCCAGACTGCAGCAAGATGTCAGACCAGGCAGGCACGTACATCTGGCCACGGGCTGAATTCCTGAGCTGCAGGAGGGTTTTTTTTGCAAGATATACAGTTCCTGGAGAGAGTTCATCTGATCTAACGGGGGAGCCTGATGCAGCCTGCATGGATTCCCTGGAGAGCGTGGGACCGGGGCATGCGCAGGAAACCCCGCAGGTTCCCGAAATGGTCTGCGGACGATGCCTGGCAGGAAAACGGGGCACGTCGGGGCTGGCAGCCGAGCCACGCTCCCCGTTGGAATCCTGCCTCCGAAACGGGGCAGGCAGCGGGCGCTGACTCACCAGCCTGCAGGGCTGAGTCACCGCGAGGACGGGACCACGGCGCGTCCCCCTCCCTCCGCTCCATAAAGGCATTTCAGCTTACCCTGCTGAGCAGCTCGTTGCTCAGAGCCACAGTGGCTGCCAGCCGCAGCGAGCAGAAAATACCCTTTTTCAATGACAGGTTTTTTTGTGGCTGCCCATACGTCGCCAGCACTGCTGGCAGCTCTCCTGCTCAGGGAAGCAAAGGATGCGGGGATGGAAATAATACATGATGTCTTATGCAACCAGCATGGAGACCTGCTAGGGAATAAATATTATCACATCCGCCTACATTTTTTAATATTTATTCACATGGTCTGCACGTTGCCACAGACTTGCAGGGAACGCACTCGCCGGCTGGGCAGAGCTGCTCCCAGGGCAGAGCCCGGCGGCCGCGGAGGCTGAAGCTGGAGCAGAAGATCCCGCTGCCTCCCCGAGGAGGACTGGCCATCCAAGGGACCGGCTGCTGCCCGGCGGGG